TAGCCTTTCTTATACGAGAATGTCTTCTACCTTTAGAGGCAATCCGTGGTACCCTTGTCCACGAGAATTGACTGGAACTTATCACCCGTAACTGCTGCCTCTCGATTTGTTTCCGAGATCCATTAGGGGCAGGAATAAAGCTCCTCCTCTCCATAGCACACAGCCTGGTCAGTATGTTAGAGACCATGTATTGCCCATGCATTATGATACCTTCTTCGGTCTGTCTTGTATCCTCTAAAGGTAAGAGAAACACACACAAGTACGTCTGCAACAGAGGACGCTGCAGAAGCTGCCAGATCAAAACAGCGGTGCCCAGTCTGTCTGCCTATCAAGCCCCCCCCCCCCCCCCCCACCACTCTTTTTTTTTCCTTCTAGATCAGCTGCAAAATAAATCTAAGACCATGTTTAGCCTTCAATAACAAACAGTTGTCAGACATTAAATTTCCTTTCCCTAGGACAATAACAGTGTCCTCCCCAATGTGCTGCTCGGCCAGAAGCCGTTGGCACAATAAGGGATGTAAGATTTAGTTTACGCTGCCAAACATTCGGCGTTAATTTGTACTCAGTGAATCATCTCCATCCTGGAGGCAGGAGATGGTGGTTGAGTGATAGTTAGTACTGTTTAGTATAGTACTGACTGTCCTTTTTCCTTCACATTTTCTAAAGGAAGATCAGTCCCCTACACCCCTCTCCCCTTTTCCAACCCAATCATTTCTTTTTCGCACTCACGTTTCAAGGAAGAGGTGCTCTTATGTGTTCTAAGCCCCAGGATACCGTGCTGTTGGGCGCTGTTTTTTATGGCATGAATAATTTGTATTTGACAATCTGTTTTGAAGGCCTTAGATGCATTCACAGAAATTTCATTGTAATTTCAGAAATAGACAATTCTAAGATTGTTGATCATAATGATTTTATAGATATCATCGTGAAGTACAATCTGGATGAACATACACATAAAATATGGATGAAATGTTAAAGGATTGTTGGGTGGAGGTATGATCTAGATTCTAAATGCGTTAATGCTTAGTGAAAACTGTTCTAGTGTAAGTGCGGCGAAATGGATAGTACATAGTATAATGTGCAATGAGCCATAATTAGTCTATTATGCCGCTTGTGGTGCTTACAGATTTGAGGTGTAGCTTGTAATGAAAGATGAGTTAGATAAATCGTGTAAAGATGAGTTAAGTGTTGAGCGTAGGCCAGATCCCCTGGCACAACTTGCTACCCTCTTCTCTTCAGACTGTGATGATCTACATGTGCTTCCAAAACGTTAAATAGTTTCCAAAGTACCCTGATAATATGTATCTTGTCTTGCATCAGTTTACCACAACTTTGTGCAGAACCAGCTAGTCTACTACCTGTTCGTTTCTCAGCACATCTCCATCCATGAAGAAAATATCTAAAGGATGCTGACTACCTGAGATTTCTGAAACGATGCATTCAAGTCTGCACGGAGCTTTCCTGTCTTCACCTTTCCTCAGCATGCTCTAAGAGTCAGTTACACCAACTACTATATGTGTAATAGGTTACCACGCCAGCGGTACACTGATGTAGCTGCCGCCACCTCTATTCAGGAACGAGATGTGGTATCATATATAAGATTTTGGTCCACTAAGCGATATCTGTTTAATTTTGAAATGACCCCCAGGAACTTTTTCTGCAACTTACTGCAGAGCAATTTGTAGTGAACAACATTTGGGAAGCGATTAAAAAATACATTTTATTACATCATGGAGTTGGTCGTATTTAGTGCATGGTGGAAGGATAATTTGTCCGTGTCAAATAAGTGGGTGTTACTTAATGTATGGTGAATTGGATGATTAATGGTACAAAGGGCAAAGGATAATAGAGAATGGTGAATATGGCTACATTTGGTATATTATGGAAATTTCGACACATTTTAAAGGAAGGACTGAACAATCTGTGAAAGAAAATGGTAAAATGCATAAGCGGTTAAAGGTAATTATTGGCACCTTTTCTTTTTTCCAGACGACTGTGTTACATTGTATGTAATGTACAAGCGGACAAAATGGCAAGTATTGTACCATTGCATACGGAAAGATGCATAGCTAGAGCATCAATGATATATGGACTAGATTGACAATCCATCATACTGACACAAGCTTAGAGTAAAGCCTGGTGATAACGTCGGTGCAGTCTTCAAGGTCAGGAGTAGAAGACATTCTAACAATCAGCTTTGGGGTGACTGCTTCATTTAGAGACTGACTCATCACACGTGTGAACGCTGAACACGCAGTGATGATATAACAATACATAACGTTTACATGTATTCATTTAATTGCATATGCGCCTATTAGATATGAAATACCAAATAATTTTTCGTTCTTAGGAAACTACAGTATACTTACCACTAAGGCAAAGATAATAGGCGCGTATATAATGAAGATGTACGGTGACTGGCTATTGTTGGTCCAACAACTGACTTCATGCTCGAAGTGCATCACCAGCGCCCAGGCGACGGCTATCATCAGGGGAATAACTGGCACAGAAACAAAACAAGCATCGAGAAAGTTAACTATTAGTGGTGTTGTGGTGGAGGCCACTACATTTGTTTAAACGTTTATTTAAGAAAACAGTGCATCTATACAAGGGGCTATACAGTTATGTTTGTTATACACGGTGTTACCGTTTGTTTGCGTTAGTCATATGTGTAGAAATACATGTATAATTTTTTTTTAATGCTATAAATAATAGTGATGGCGATGAAAGTTGAAGAACCCAATTTAGAATTTGAAAAAAAAAAAATTGTTTAAGATGAGGAGGAGGGTAACATTAAATAATTTCAACAGGTTATCTCTCATCCTTTCTCTCCAACTCCCTCAGGCTTCCAATCCCCTACACCTTTTTCTCTCTCATGCACACACACACACACATTTGCTCACTTCCTGTCTCACCAAATGTTTCTTTCAAAGGGCCGGTCTTGAATGTGGGACAGACAGTCACTATTTGAGCCTAAATCGTATTTTGGCAAGGGCAATATATCATCACTGGGTGATATACCACTGGGTGCAATGATAATAATCAAAGAACATAAACACTCTCACACCCACGAACAATACATTTAAATAGTTCAGTTAGTTTTTTAAGACAGTCAAAATGGAGAATAGAGTGTTTTAAAATACGTTTAACAAACGTTGTGAGTTATATGTTTTGCGTCTGCATCTTGCTGCTTTTCGACAGGTCTAAATTAGGTATTTGATTTTTTAATTCTGTGGCTAATTATGGTGTATGGAATGACGAAGATGTTTACAATAATAGTCCCAAACACAAAAATTTTGCATGTTTTATATTTCTATCTGTGTAGCATATATATTATCTTATACGTGATTGTTTGCCACGTGAGTGGGTGAGTGTGTGTGTTTTTGTGTGTAAGTGTGTGCGTGCGTGCGAGTTTTTTTTTTTTTTTTTTGGGGGGGGGGGGGGTGGGGAGGCTAACATGGAAATCTAATAACTTATTTTTTGACTGTGTAGGTGTTAGCCCTAGTGGAAGGTCTGTCTTGTGTGTCAATGATCCTATCCCTATGATGTGTGATTTTTAAATGTTAAAGTTTGCCGATCTGCCCTCACAAAATTTTGTTAAAGTACGTAATCTTCGTTTGATGGATTTGTTGTTTGCAGGAAAGAAAGCGGTATCATATATGTAAGCAAGAAGCTTCCGGTCTCCCATCCCTTGAATAAATGTGTCCCTAATGTTTGGATCATGTCTGAATGTTTCTAGCAGTGGTTCAAGAGCCAGCGTGTATAGAAGTGGAGAGAGTGAGAAAGAGAGATTATATCCTTACAGATCTTGTGAAACTTTTATTATTTCCTGCAGCTGCTGTTACACAAAATTGCCAAAAAGTTCTACTGATCTCAACGCTGTCGATGGAATTATGTTGGACACGTATCGTTAAACGTTCATGACATGAGGGCTACTTGAGAATGACAATCAGAGGAACGAAACATTGAAGACAGCTTCACTTTTTTGATTCCCTATCAAAGATACGAAAACCCTGTTCATTAATTCTCTCTTTTGTGAGCCTTGCAAAAGCGCTTTAGGAGAACAATGAGGATTGCGTGTCTGAAGACATTTCTTTCAAGATTGCATCAAGAACATTCTCGCGTTGCCTTAAACTTTACTGATGCCATCTACAATAAGTTTTAAGAGAAGTTCTACAGATGATAGGAAAATCTTTGTCGGAGATTGGTATAAGTCCTTCTCGAAGGCATGCACATAACATGAGCCGGGAAATGCTGCAAGAATCGTCGTCTGACTCTGATCTACTGCCTAATTTTTGCGGCGCAGCAGGAGCCATTATTAAATGCAGATCAACGGGCTATTTATCGAGAGTTTTTAGGGTGCTACAACAAAAGCAAAGGTGGGATAACTGTTATCGATGCACCAGGAGGGATTGGAAAGACCTTTCCCATCAATGTGTTGAGTGCAATAATGCAATAATTACAGCAGAACAGAATATTTAACTTGCTGCAGAAATTTCAAACATTGCTGCAACGCTGAAGACTGGCGGACAAAAAGCGCATTCAGTGTTACAAATCCCGCTTCATTTAATCCGTAACGAAACTCCGTTTTGCAACATTGAGGAAAGAGTGTGCAAAAACCACAGTGCTACAGCAGGCTCATGTACTTTACTTTTCTAGGATGAAATTACTATGATACACAAACATGTACTTGAGTGGATAAACAGAACCCTCCAGGACCTTCGTGGCACCACAAATATTATAGAAGGCCTGATTATCGTCCTTGGTGATGATTTCCGGCAAACGCTACCGATAACTCCAAGAGATACGATGGCCTAGGATATCAAAGCCTGTTTAAAGGTATTAGTTCTTCCTAGAGATGTAGCAATTAGGACTTTAACCATCATCATGAGACAGACAGCCTAGTTACGAAAATTCATTAGAGTTTTCCGAGTATTTGCATAACGTTGGTGATAGCAAAGAGGCAGGAAGAGAACAATGGAAGATCAATTTCTCCAATGAAATCTGCAAAATCTGCCTGTGTACGCATGTGTATATCCAGAACCACAAACGGCTTCAGGAACTTGCAATTTTAACATCACTAAATGCGAAAGTTGTTGACATTAACTTCTTTAAATGACGATGAAACTATAAGTTAGCCGGTATCATTGTTGAAATCACTTAATCCCAGTGTGGTTCCTCCACATAGATAAGTGTTGAAAGTTGGGAGTCCAGTTATATTGCTACGCAGCTTGGACCCACCAAAGCTGTGCAACGGGTCTAGGCTGCAAGGTAGGCTTTATATGCTTATTTCATCGAAGCAACTATTTTAATCGGAACATTTGAGGGTGGCCACGTCATAATTCCAAGGATTCCACTCGTTCCATCTGACTTGCCGTTTTCGTTCAAAAGATTGCAATTTCCTGTTCGACTTGCATTTGCAATCGCAATCAATTAAGGCGCAAGGGCAATCGCTCGAAGTAACAGCCTTGGATTTGACTGACGATTGTATCTCGCACTGACAGCCGTATGTGGGATTGTCAAAGTCGAAGGATTCCTCTTATTGTTCATCATCGCCGATAATCAGCAACAGACTAAGAATATTGCATATAGCCAAGTAAAGACATAAAATACAGGGTAAGTACAGTTAACTATATGAGTTAGACTATGCCAGGTAATAAATGTAGCGCATATATACGTATGTATCTGTATATATATATATATATATATATATATATATATATATATACAAAATTTGAGCAGCCCGGTTATAGCTTCTCTATGCTTGCCTGCTCATCCAAATGCTGTATGTTCACATACGAACGGAGCGGATTTTTTTCTAAAGAAAGTGGCTTTGTTTCTCATCTCAACCCAGTCTCAAAGTGGAACCAATAAGCCTAAAGACGTGGAATATGGTCCTTCACTTTACGTCTAATACGAAATTTAACAAAAAATGCTTACAAGCAGAACTTTGCTTGGTTTTGCACACCGCCTAGCCTTCGTACATATTCTCTAAGGGAAGGAGGTATTCTTCGGACCCTCATCCTCACAAACATATATCTGGGTTATTGTGTCTCATGGTTTAGGAACCCCAGCTTCTGGCGCCCTGCACGATTAGTGCAGCAGCTAAAAAACTAAATAAATGTATACAATGGTGACTTAGCAGAGTAGAGGTTATTTCTCGTTGTCAGAATAATCACGATTACTAAGCATTGTGAGCGCGAAATACTTGTCAGAGAATCAAGAGGTAAGGATGTAAAACAGGTCATTAGACGAAACCTGATAAAACATGATACAAGTAAAACTGGATTGACCTTTCAATGTAATCAATAAGGGGAAAATAAAGACTGGTAAAATTGTCGAAGTAATTAATAGTAAGTTGTGATGACATATAGGTTGAGACAAGCTAAAAGAAAGAAAGACAATAAATTGATAATACTAGTAGGTTGTAATGATATGTAAACTTAGGCAGGGTAAAAGAAAGAAAGACAAGTAACAACATAGAAAATATATAAAGATGTGATGATATGTCAGCTGACGACGGAACAGAAAAAATTGCGAAAGATGTCAAGGGAATGGAAGGCTTGACTTAGCGACAGCTGTTGGAATGCCTTTGCTCAATCTGGATATAATAAAGAAGTAACGAGGAAGAGGCGAAGAAGACAACTATCACCTTATTGTTCCTGTCGTTATTATTACGCTATAAGCCATAAGCGTAATTTACTGTAAAATGTTCTCCTGTCCTTGGAGTGCCCATACTTATCCCTTGATTTATGTGGTGGAAGACGTCAATGATATAGCACAGAAATCTGGGCACGCAAACTAAAACATTTACAAGCCATGAGAAGATGGCAGGAGCGGCATGTTAAAATTGTTTTCTTTAAAGCGGAAATGGTTTGCGTGGCTCTGCAAATCTAGCGGCAAATGGTCAGCCGGGAAATAGCCACTCGAGAATGCGATTTAAGATTTGGGCCAACGCCAGTGATGCAGATGGATCCGGATGCTATCATGCGCATGCATGTTCGTCAGAGTATATGTATTCAATTTGCTTGACATGTCATGCTTCGTGTGACAAAAACAAAAAGCTTTATATCACATAGATGTTATACGACCGCCTTAAACTTGAAATATACCCAGGGTAAATATCCAGTGTGACACATGCGATGTTCATAGTACAACCCCAAAGGAGAAACATTGAAACCGTACTTGGGGCCTGTCTACTGTTGAACCGATACCACTAATTTCTGAACACACACAATAAAGTGCTTTATTATGTTTCTTTATTTACTTTACATGAATACATTTTGATTCATTATTTCTCTCACTTGATTTCTACATTTTCATTTCAATAGACCTTTTTTCCGCTTTCTTCCAATAGAAAATACAATTTGGAAGACGAGGTAATCAAGCAGTTATGCCTCGCTCTCTAAGGGTTGTGGTTGTGTGTCGAGGATGCCTCGCACTTGAAGGGTTGTGGTTGTGTGTCAAGGACGTCTCGCTCTTTAAGGGTTGTGGTTGTGT